GGCAGCCGCAGCCGTAGCAGCGGGCAGGTACCTGGGCTGGTGGGAGGTGTCTCTGCCCACCGCAGGGGGGTTGGAACTGGATGATTCTTAAGGTCCTTTCCAACCTAAACCATTCTATGATTCTATGACTGCTCCAGGTTATTAGAGGGGAAATATGGTTCCTCCACCTTGGCAGTGCAGCTGAGGGCATCCAGAGTTTTCCATCAACTTTGTCTGAATTGTTTTCATCCTGTCTTTCCTCTTACTCTCCCGTTCACTTCCCATGCGTTCACTTCAGTTGATTTGTGTTTACCTCCGCTCCTCTGAGTAATGTAAGAGGATTCAAGGATACTCGTTCCTTTGAAACAGCAGTAGCATTTGTTTTGCTGAGCTTGGGGCATGGTGGTGATCTTTACAACAGCACTTGTTTGCACAACAAGGTCCTCAAGTGGTTCCTGAAGTTGCCATTTCACAGCATGCAATCCATCACGACTTCCAGTTATCAGCTGGGGAGCTTTCCATCACAAGCCCATTTCTCAGCCAACACAGTATTTTGAGTCTTTACATCACCACCTATGAAAAAACGCTTAATATCATTAATATCACGGTTAGGTGTGCAGGCTGGCTCCCAGCACGCTACACGCATATAGGCAATGAACAAATGCCCACAGCCAACCTGGCCCTATGCTGTCAGTGGCGGTCAGTCCCCTTCCCACAAGCTTTAATTCCATGGCACGTTGTATACGGGTTAATAATAAACCCAAAACTTCCTTCTTTCTCAGGCTGACAGCTCTGAAAACAGGTGCCAGGCTAACCTTAGCATTTCAGTTAGTTTTGAATCAGCAGCAGCTGCATAATGAGATCCCCCCCGAGAGCATTAAAGCTCTCCTTTCCAGAAAATTCAGTAAACAGGTTTAAGTATTGGCACACACAGGAACTCACACAAAAGGAATGTACAAAAAACACAGTAATGGGTTTGCAATTCTTGAGTTTAATTACTTCAGCATGTGGGTTTTTCTTACTGTTCAGCCTTCCCCTTTCCACTGCAATCTTTCTTAGGGAACTTGCATAAACAAACACTTTTCCTAGACCAGTACATAAATCAGACACAGATGCACACGTTTTTATTTGCAGTTTTCTCAAGCCTTGTTTTTTCAACTTCTTAAGAGAGAAAGTGTATTAAAAAACTATTATGCAATCAGATCAAATATCTGATGGTGAGATGCACTGAGATCAGAGGACTCCATGATGGAAGAACATGACAGTAATCTGTAACGGGAGCTACGCTTCAGTCTAACCTGTTCAGGAAGTCAGAGTTACAGAATATCAGCCAACTCAAAGAATCTTGTTGTCTGCACTGTGCTGTCAAAGCAGCACAGAAGAAAAGTCTGTTTTTTACTGCCTCACTCTTGGCAAAATTGAGGCCTTTGGAAAGAAATGAAAAAAAAAAAGCAAAACTCAAGGCAGAGACGCAATTCACTGATTTCCCCCCTCTCCCTTTAGCTCACAAAAACTCAAGACTATTCAGCTCTTTGTCTCAAGAAGTAAGCAAAAGAAAGACTAGAAAAGGCTAGGATAAGACATACTCGACAAAAGGCAATTCAAAAGATCCAAACATGTAGGGATCACGAGGTAAAGAACAGTTACAGAGACATGTGAATAAAATGACACTGAAGGCATTACACATATACAGACACTCAGTAGCAAGATCCTCCTCTGCAACTCAAAAGACTGGACAAGGAAGCACAAATCCAATTAAGCAATGCCAGCACAGATAACGTGCATTATCTAGTAGGCTTTAGAATATCAGATTAACTTGGATTCTTGAATATAAAAGATCTCAAAACTTATTAGTTCAGAAACTTTGGAGAGAACAAAGCCTGTAGGTGGCCTGAATTCACAAAGCTGAAAAAATTTTCAAGTAATTGCGCTGGTAAGAATATCATGTGGCATTACACAATGGGTTTTCTACCTGCCTCCAGGCCCCTTCCAGCCCCAACAGCTTTGTATCACTACAGCAAATTTCAGGTTTGTGTGGGTAGCGGTAGATGGTTAAACTCGGTATCAGTGAAGGAGAACTTGCTCCTCCACTGACACCAGGGTGTGATGTCTACATGACAGCTGCTCAAAGAAGTTAGGAAAACAGCGTAGAAAGGAATTTTGGGGAAAGATTTTTTGATTAAGGAGACACTAGTTCTTGTAATTCACTGTCAAAGGACTCAAATGCCTCTAGTTAACTTAGCTTTAAGATTCCACAAGCAGAAAATGCAGGAAGAAGTCCAGTGTGCATACAGGATCAGACAAACAAGCAGCTGCTGCAAGCAGAAGAGAAATCTTAATGTAATGTCTTATGTCAATGCAAGTTACCCCACGACTTTTTTTTATTCCCCCTCTCATTTCAAGTGCAGCTGCTGGACTTTGCTAGACGTGAGTCAGTTCTACTCAAAATTTCTGAGGACACATAACCCGTGAGCTAGGTGCAAGTTACCCTAGAAGAACTGCCATGCAATGTGCATGAGAAATCAGCATTATGCAGGGTGGCAAGCACTTCCTACCACAACACCTACAATCCGTGGCAATGGATGTGTGTTAGCATGTTAAAAAGTAATATTCCACAGTTAAAATGTAATTTTCCATAGGAAAAATGTTCCCTGTACCTAGGAGCGAATCTAGGAGTACGAAAGTGATCTAAGCAGACGCAAACAATTGTAGCCACAAACTATCAAAAAAGAAATCTCAAATTAAAAAAAAAATTAAAAAAAAAATAATCTTACTTCCAAACAGTAGACAAGCCACTTATTGAAACAGGCTCTCAGAAAGAGTAAAATCCATGTTTAAGATATTACACACTACATTGCTATCCAGCTAATAAAAAAAAAACACCCAACAAAAAAACCCATCCAAACTTTACAAACAGGATACAAACAGATTTCCTTTTGCAATAAGGATACTGGATAAAAAGCTATGGAATACGTTGTGGCATGTTTACAGGGAGGTTGTTCTTCCCCTCCGCCCAGTGCCTTCACTCCCACCAGCTCTTGTTTTGAGCTTGTTTTCAGTTTTTCCAGATGTGCTCTTTGCTTGTAGAAAGAGAATTTTCTTTTGTCTATACAGAATAGGACACCCAGGAAGCAGGTGAGGAGCGAGGTCAAACTTCTTGCTGATCCATTTCTTTGTTGTTTATTTCACATCACTGAGCCAGTTACAGATGTTATGCGAGTTCAAGACGTTTCTATCTCGGAGGCCTCTTCTATGAAGTTGGCAACAGGACTGAGGAGCAAGAGTGGAAACAGTTTATACTCTCCATTTCCATCTTCCGAGAGGAGAGGTGGATCACCCATTCCCAGAGCATCCAGAGGCTCAGCCTGGCTTGCTGGAGCTGCTAGCGGCAAGACAGTTTCACTACCCGAAGGAGGCTGAAGAGCAGGCTTCTCCTCCAGGGGAGGCAGCAGAAGGTCTTTCGGATCCTCTATCTTCCCTGCAGCTTCACTCGAAGGTAGTTCTTCAAATAATGAAAGCAGAGGATTGGCCCTGTACTGTATCAGCTGCATATCTGAGGGAAAACAAAGAGTTTAAACTCCAGGCTGCTGTGTCACATAAGCGAAGGCTCTTATTCAAGACAAGGAAAACTGGAGAGGCTGCTTCAAAACATGGTTCACTAAAGAAAGCCATACAGCTGAGCTCTGACAGACTACATCCACAGCTGCAAGAGGGGAGCTAAGGCTCCTGTGTCTGTTACGATCAGTATCTGAAGCACACTTCAAGGCCCCAATACATATGGCATACAGTGGCAACACTGAAGTAGTAAAATGAGTAGCACTGCATTTGTGGGGGTCGTAGCCCATCTAGGAGATACTTCCACAAGGACATTTGCAGTTCTGCTGCCTATTGTGGCACTCTGTCACGTATAAGAAAATGGAAACAGTAAACACCAATGTGGGACATAGGATGGAGCCTCTTAAGATTGAGGCACAGCTTCATCAAGATCAGTGACACATCCCAGTCTTCACAAAAATTTTAAGCCCAGACCAAAGGAGGAGATAAACCATATTACAGGCTACAAAAATTCCACTTCAACACACAGTTTTGGAAGAGTTTGGAACTGCCACAGCTCTCAGTGTTCCTTCCTGCCCACCTTTGCTTCCCGCTGTTTCTCTCTCACTCGCTCCCAGATCTTCAGTGCTCTCTGCCAAGTTTGCAATCTGAAGCAAAACGGACAGAGAGTAAGACAGAATGCTTAACAACAACAACAAAATCCAAGTCTTCACTGACTGGTTAACAAAATTAAAGGTGAAAGGAGGAGGGAAGCGAAATGAAACAGTTTGAGCCCATTGTTGCACATGAGGGCCAGCAAACAGGAACTCCCAGAAGAAGGTACGGTGAAATACAGACAAAATTAACTGATTAAAGCCAAAAAAGCTTCTGACTAGCAAATATTTATTTTACCTTCCAAACCAGAAGCTTTATTATAGTCTGTCTTGCTGGAGTAACACTGTCAAACGTGATTTCATCAATACAATTAACAGCTTGAACACAGGTGCATTTTACCTCAGTTGTGGTCTAAGCTCTTATGACTGGGACATCCTAGTTTAAATATTTCAGGACTACAAAATAAGTGACACTTGCAGGGAGCTTTTTTGGTTTTTTTTGTTTGGTTTTTTTTTTTTTTTTAAACACAAGTCAATTTTACCTACTAGACCAAGAGATGTAAATTTGCACTGGACTTTTGTATGTCCTCTGATGAAATTCCACACAGCCACGTTCAGAATAAATACAGTATATTGCATGATATTTTTCATTTAGTACTTTTCCTTCCATCTTCAGAGAGACTGAAGACACTCAATCTCACCTGAACTATAACCCCAGACCGAGTTATTACTCGGCTAAAAGACATCCTGGGAATCCCTGAGGCTAGGAGAAACAAGCCAAGAAACTGTTCTCACACAGACCAAAAAAGGTCAATATTTTCTATCCTCCTCACTCTAAACAGAAGGTACAGAAGTAATAGATAGGAAAAACAATTTCTCAATACAGACAGCTGATTCAACAAACACCAGTTTGTTTCCCTCTTCCTTATGTTCTCAGGTGTATTCAGAAAGCAAAGAACATGTTATTCAAAGCAAAGCAACAGTTTAAATCAGCCCACTGAGTGTATTACTGCAGCTAGGGATGTAAGACTTGAAATTACCTTGTGAACCCTCTAGAATTCATATATGCCAACAGCAATAACTGAAGACATTAGGTCAGCAGGACTAGATAGAATGGCAGTTTCCTCCTGTGCTATCAATCCAGTCCCTACCCTCAAGCTGCATCACTCAAAATTTAGCTCTCAACATTGTATCAACCCTCCCCATCATAGAAGCAAATCTTACTCTTACGTTTTCCATGCCAGGGGAAGTTTCCATCAAGCTCATATCCAGGGCTGGCAGCTCAGGATTAAGTGTCTGAAAATAAAAACAGACCATATGTCATATAAAAAGGTCCTTAAAACAAATCTTTGGAGAGCTCCTGAAAGGACAGCAGGGTCCAGTGCACCACTCCATCCACTGAAGCACAGGGAAGGCGGCTCCTCCACAGGCCTACAGCAATATGCTTTCAACTCGTGGCAGTAAACTGAGGTCACAAGAGAAGAAACGGACACCATATTTCCCAGCAATTCCAGGATAATCAGGATGTGATGATATGTGACAAAGGCTTGAGAAGGAAAAGAGTCAAATTTTTTCCTTTTTTTTGTCCCCTTAAGTTATGTGTAACAGAAATACTATATGAACTTTAAAAGGCTCTCAACGTTACCTTGTACATCGTTAGACTCCTAGAATGACTATGCAACATTCTACCCATAACTATTTGTTTTTCAGGATTTTCCCCCCTCCTGCCCGTTAAAACATGGAATAAACCAGTAAAGTTTCATAATGCAACCTAATCAGTATTTTTTAAAAATCAGAAAAAGTGAAGAGAGACACTCACATCGCTGAAAGCTTCAGAACCAAAGTTATACTGCTTCCCAGATAACATTGCTTGGAGCTCTTCAAGGCTGGCGTCAATGCAATTAAGAAAATCCTGAATTTCTTCTCTAAAAGACAAAATGATAGAGTACTGTAAGAAACAGTTGGCAGTTAGGGCTTTCTTCTGCACCACGTGGCAGAAATGATCTGCTAACCTCGCAGTTGTTACAGCTGTGGGGCAAGATGAGAGCCAGACCAGGCTGCTCCCAATCCAGAGTAGTTTATTGTCAAATGAACAAAACCGTGTTCCTTTATCACTTTTCATGGTCCAACTCTTTGAAGGACATGTACACGGAAGACTATCCGAACAGCAAGTATAATAATAGCTATCATATCAAAAAGCAGTTCCTCCTTCCATACCTATTTCCTCCTTCATTTTAATATCTTTTGAATGTTCTCAGATCCCAGCCTATATACCAGTATCTGTTTAAACTGAGGCCTGATGGCTTTCACCTGGGGACAACAAATGATAAGCAAAGGGCTGGAAATATCTGGATCTGAAGGAACGCAACCTATTTTGAAACATCAGACCGTTGCCAAATTGTACACATTCCCAAGGGACAGTGAATGAAGCGGAAAGGACGCTGCATGTGCCAGTACTGAACTTCTCACCGCGCTGCAAGCTGCCTCCTGTGCGGGAATACTCAGCTACAGGCACCAGATTGCTCCAAGGCACTGCCTTGCATTTTGCAGTGCCAAATGGAGTCAGATATTCCAGGGCCTTCAGACTACACTGGGTGCTGTGACACATCATCTCAGTTAACCACAGCAGCAGAACCGTCAGAAACAAGAACTAAAGTTTGTTCCTCGATCCAGCTCATCCTGCAGCCACAAAGATAACGGCACCGATAAAGCTCAGGGGCCAGTGCAGATCTGGGAACTGCTCAAGGAGCAGCACTGCTGAGTGTGAAACCACAGCCTGCGTGATTTTGATCCCAGGGGTGAGTCTGATCTGACAATGCACAAGGGAAACGAAACCTTTGCAAAAATGAGGGGCGAAGAAAGGAAGCAACAGTGAAACAACATCAGGCTACTACTGATACAAATCCATAGCCAGTTCTAGGAAAGAAAGCAGCACACGACGCCCTTCTGAGATCACTGCCCTCAATCTCCTGTTTGGCAGCACTTGGCAGTGTCAGGAGTTGGCGATATGAGGGGTGATGTGACAGACTGACCTCACCGATCCTCAGCCTGACACACCAGAAGTCAGGCACAATTATTATCAGAGATGGGACAGAGGAACTTGCCCTGCTTTTACTGTAGGATGCTAACCCTTGTCTTTTTCAAGACCTACTAACGAAAGGGCAGAAAATTCAGTTCATCAAGGACATTTAAAAAGCTAATTCACTATGTTCTGCAAAACACATCCTCTAAAATTTGACAAGATCCCACAAGATGACGACAGCTTCCCACAAGATGACGACAGTTTCCAGAAACAAGTTAATACCTGTCCAGTAAAGGATCATTTTGGTTTCCAGAGTTGTTCTCGTTCAAGATGGAGTCAATCACTGACACGGGGTCTTCTGGAGCATTAGGTTGTGCAGTATGGAGTTCCACAGCAACGTTTTCTGTTTCACTGGATTTATTGACATCATTTATATGAACTGGTGGGATCGGTTCTGCACAACTTAACTCATTCGGCTGCGATACTTGACAAATAGGTAAGCCAGGATCCAGAGCTGCCTGTGTCTCTCTAAAATACGACCCAAAGAGAAACAACACATAGGAGAATTCATCAACAGTATCTCAAATCTTAACACCTAATAAAGTCAAGCTAGTCAAGAGTTGAAACAACCAAATGGCCTTTAGAAAAAGAAGAAAAGTACCTTCCTAAAGGCAGACAGAGAATCTCTTATTACAGCTTATACAGATAGCATGTACCAGAGCAAAACACACCATTTTGCCAGGCCAAAAGTGGCAAAATAGCATATGGAAATTATAGGGAGGAGGGAAGCTCCTAACATTGTATCTCTGGAAATAAAAGATTCCAAATTGGCTCATATTTCACTTTGGATGTTAACAACTAAATGGGTTTTCACAAGAATCTGATGCCACACAAAGGAATGCCTTCCCTTCAGTAATGTTTAGCGTAACAGCAGCGAGAGTAGTACTGAAACTGGAGATAAAACTATACATCTTCATTTGTCTACTAGTAACCTATATACATTTTGGAGTGTTTATTTGTAACCTATAAATGCATTCAGGTCCCTGTCCAGTCGAGAAGTATGTGCTTCTTTGTTGAACAGACAGAAAAGCCTCAGCAAATTAAACTTCAGCTGCCCATCAGCTTGATAGGCCTTCAGGCACTCCTGAAGAGATGTGAGCTCTTAAAAAGCTTTGCTGACCATGACCAATGCTACATGCTGTATAACAGACAGCCTACAAACAGGCCTGTCATACACAAATAAGTAAGAACTTCAGAGAGGCTGTTTCCCAGAATATGGATCGCTTACACTAACATAACTACCTAGTTAACAACCCAAGCATAAATACTTCCACATCCTTTCAACATACCTGGCTCTGCCACTTGTGTGTGCCACAGCAAGGAGACCATCGGTGGCATTTTCCAGGGTATCAGTGATATCTCGAATGATGAGACCTGTACCATTTCCATCCTCGTCATCTGCATTATGTTCAGAAAAAGCCATCTGCAGGATACAGCAAACAGAATGAGTAAACCAAAAGGTCTGAATTTTTTGACGTTGAAGCTCCATTCTTCTTGCAGCTTCTCTTTCCTGTTTGGATTTCATTTATGACTAGTCATACTGATTTGCATGGTTTTACAGACAGAGCAATGCTTTAAAGCTGCCCATTTCAAAATGGAGTGCATTGGATTATAAGATTAGGGTATTAATAGTTACAAGGAAGACTTTGAGATCACTGTGTATCATCCTGTCCAACCCACTGTCCCTTTCCCTGGGAAGACTTACTGCTTGGCCACTCTCCACCGGTATGCGAACATACTGACGACTGTATTTGGAAGGTGAAGCACCTGCAGCATCCGTTAGAGACCTGAGACAAAATATGGCTTTAGCGTATAGTTCCACAGCAAAAAGCTGTAGCAATGCCAAATACGTGCAGTAACGGTTAGAACAATCATTCTTTCACTTCTAAGAAAACTGGCCTTTGGAAATGTTTTTTAGTAAGTATACTGCAGATGGGTTGCATTCTAAACATGCTTTTTGTTTTGAATAAGTCAGTCACATTTGCACATTTTGAAAGAGTTACGATTTCTGTGCCATTTGAAATTTAAAATGTATAGTATATTCTCTTCCCACCCATTTTTTTTAGCGATAAAGAAGAGGAAATATTTATTTCACACTTTATTCAACCTCCATCAGCTTTCTCAAGTTTGAATATACAAGTGATAAAAATACTCTTCATACACTTTTAAGTATCCTGCTTCTAGAAGCAGTTTATCCATATAATTCACATCTGACACTGATTTGTGACCTATCCAGTAATTACCTTTTTCTTTTGACCCCAACAATATAATTTCCTCGCATCAGACTTAGTATAAATTGAAGAATCTAAAAAGGAAAAACAAAAAACCAAAAAAGCGGTCAGTATAGCAATCCTAATGTTAAATTACTAATTCAGATAGGTAAATTAAAAATCCATTTGTGTTCATGTCTTAAAAAACAAAATGATAGTTACAAATGGCATTGAAAAGTTATCTCACTTGGACAGGTTTGGTGTGGTTGTTTTTTTTTTAATGTAATATAATACCACAAGTCACTAGAGGATGCCAGACCAGAAACAGCTGAGGAGGAAAATAGAAAATTTGTTCCAGTGCAGAAGCTCCTATAGTTTCTGGGTTCCAAGTTTACTTCTTGAGTGGTCTAAGTATGTCATGGTCCAAGATCTTTCACAGACTCCACGTGCCTGCAATCTCTTGGTTTAGGCTCCTGTTACCATGCACTGCCTTCAGCCCCATGGTTACCCCAGGTCAGCTTTTACTGATTTCTCTCCAAATAAGATTCACTGAGATTTCAAACATATTGAAATCTTTTTTCACTATGACTTTTCCTTAGTATTTTGCTCGTGGTTCTTTGCTGTGCTACTTCTGGGACACTCAGGAACTGTGAACATTTTCTTTATGCTGTATTAATATAGGCTGTTCAGCTCTGTGTCATTTGTCATTCTACATAAGCAAAGAATGCCATCAAGTATCACAGAGGCAGGAATAAGGATGGTAGCACTGAAGATGCTGCAATGGTACCTTAGACAGCAGCTTCTGTTGTTGACTGTGCTTCTGCCTTAGAACTGCCACTTCTTTCCACAGGGCCTTATTTTCTCTGCAATGCAGAATAAATCAGAAGACAGAGGATGAACAGAGTTTACTTTATATGCTTTAGTTTTACAGCTTTCAAACTTTCACAGTACCTTGCAGGACCAATGGCAACATTCCTTCCATGGATAACTAACATTCAGTTAATCCAATCCACTAGTATAAACTCTGGGTTAAATTAAGTCCATTTTCCATCAGGTAGGACCAAACACTCACTAATAAGGATATTCTCACCCTCTGCTGCTCCATCAATAATCTTGATCTGAGGTATTCCTTCAAAGCCTCAAAGCTTTCAAACAAAGACGCAGTGTTTGAAAACAGGCTGAGCGTAACACAGACCACCTCAGAACAGTTTCAAAGTTTGTTCTCACTCACTGCATGTAACCCTGTTTTCTGTTTAGAAAAGGAAATGCTTTGATTGCCCTAAAAAAAAACTAGGACGGGTGATGGCAACCAAAATGAAACCTCAAGATAGTCAACAAACTCCCAGTCTTAATCTCTGGTCTGCAACTGAATTATAAAAACAAACAAGATTCAGAATGTTGTGTGGGGTTGAAATGAGGATTCTTAGGAAAAAAGAAAAAAAAAAAGCTTCACCTGTTTCCAGTTCAAATGTAACCCACATTTAGAGTCAAGCTCCATTAGATACAAGCAACATTCAATGTATAAGTGCCTCTGAAACAGATGGAGTCTACCTCCTCATGTTAGCCAGCCTGACATCCATGTTGTTCTGCTGCTCTCTCATCTCCTGGACTTCAGACAGTACTTTGTGCAAATCCTCTGTACAGACCTTGAGATCCTCAGTTCTTACTGCAGATACCTAAAATAGGACCGGGTTACACAGGCTTTACTATGAATAGTGCCTTGCAGACTCCTTTCTACAACAGTGTAGTTAGTCGGTAGGAAAACAGGTACAAACTCCATTAGAAGATTAGATAACACTCTAATTCTTGTGTATCACAAAACACTGCAATTTCTATAGATAACAGACGTTAGGACAGTCTATACTGTCCTACGTATGAAAAAACCAAGATGTCAATTAAAACACGAGATTACCACTTTGTACTTGTAGACAGTAGATTCACCATTGTAATTCATGACAAAAACCTACCACTGATTGAAAATGGCCTTCCTTAGGGGGCTCTCTCTGACAGGTCTGGCGACAGCTTGCCCTCTAGTGTCAGAGTAAGACACCAGGCAAAACCAAACCAAAATTGACAGTGGAGTAAGAAAGAGATGATCGCGTTTCTTTTAGGTGTGGGTAAATCTGCCAGCACAGGAGTAACAAATTTCCATTAAGTTACTGGGAAGGGGGGGAGGAGAAAAAAAAAAAAAGTTATCTAATTAGATGCATCCTGTTCAATTTGAAAATTTGTCCCATACCACCTGAATTGCAGATTCCTATACTGGTGTTTCCTCTATTACCTTTCAGCTCAGTGACGTTCCATAATTATGGAGACTTGTCTCCAGAAAGTCAAAGTCCAAACTGCTCTTCTGCCCACAGCAGAATCCATGAATGCCACCTCTTCAAATGATGGCGGAAGAGTCATCAGAAAGCAAAAAGCTCGCTCTCTTCTCCCCACACTTCCATACTCAAAATTTCCCAATTCCTTCAGCAACTCTCTGTGTGGTGGTGGCCCTGATGACTAACACACAATTCAGGATTTTGAAGATGATATGTGTGGTGCACCACACACCTGAATGACATGTCCAGGTTTTGGGGGCATAATTTTTAAAATCATTTAGCCAAACACTGACCATAACTGTACCAAATGGAGTTGCACGAGGTACCCACCAGATGTCCCTTCCAACCTACAGCACGCTATGATTTTTCTTACTATTCTACTAAATTCCAAGGGGGAGGTGAAAGCATCTGGGACTGGCCTGTTGAAGTGCTACGTAACTTCCATGCAGGTTGGCTCACAGATCCCTTTTTTCCAAAGGAGAATGGGACCTATGGTGTTGTAAAATAACATCCCATCGCTTCATGATGAAAAAAAATGTAATTGTTACATAATCGCTCCACAGAAATAACTAACCACTTTCTTAACATAACCCAGTGTTACACAGGATGGACTGAACAACCAAACAGTTCTCTCTGTCTACATTTTTAGATGCTTTGCTATTTGTTGCGGATACTACCTTATGCTAAGGTACACGAGCTGTATCCCAAATGAAATTCACAGTGGGCTGATTTCTCTTCAGCGTACCACCTCTCCATGGGGAAGACACCCCAAAGATGCAGAGAGCAGGTGGAGATTTCAAATGCAGTCAGTCTGCCTCCAAAAAAAGGGCCAACTAAAACATTCCGCCCAAGTGCAAGGAATTGCTCTCTTCAGAGTCTCTAACTAGATAATAAGGATGTCAAGACTGAAGCACGCCAGCAGAGCTAACACTAAAAGGGAGTTAATAAAGGAAGTCCTGCATTCAAACTTGCATTCCTGTTAGGGGCTTGAAATCCGGTTTACAGCAAGTACCGAACTATGACTCCATTCCAGACAGTAAAAGAGCAAGAAAAACTAATGGACATTTTGCAAAAAAAAAAAAAAAATCACAAACATTTCCTGTGCAACAAAGAATATGTTTCACCAACCCATTCAATAGTTTCATACGAATGCCTCTGGCACTAACTAGAGCTTTTGTCTTTCCATCTAGAACACTCCACCCAGTGCAACACTCCTGGGATGCGCGGTGCCGTACACAACACCCTCAGCCGACTGCCCCAACATACCAGCAAGCAAGGCGTGCGAGTTGAGACAAGTTAGCGATTACGGCATCTGGGAAGAGCACAGGCCTGAGTCAGAGAAGCAACTGTACAACTATACTTAATGAATTGTGATTCTGAGCTGAGACAGCTCAGTGAAGAATCGATCAAAACACAATTGTGACTCTCAAGCCTGCCCTGTGCTTTTATTAACTTGGGCAATGTAGCTACCACATTACGACATTCTAAAGAAAAGATTCTGCAGTTCAAATGTCAACATGATGTATCATGATACTCTCTTTCGCTGGCAGCCAGGATATTATGGGCTGAATGTGCCAATAGAGGATAAATATCTGTGCAGAAACAGGTCAGACAAGGCCTGAATGTACAAAAGAAGAATGGAAAGCGCTAATAAAGATGTAGCTTAGTGGCAACACAGTTTTGGAGGAACAATGTAATTTATGCAAACTCACCCAAATGAACTGATTACTGATGCCCTTGCTCATTTTCAATAAGCACCAAATGGGAATGTAATTTCTTTTACTTCTTTCACTTTGTGATTCTTTCTAGCTCTGCTATGCTGGCAGAACTGAAGACCATGATAAGCTGTAACCGGGTATATAAACTCTCGGTGGAGAAAGGGCTCTAGTTCAACAGCTCTGAAGAACATGGTCTTACTCCAGTGCATTGCTAAACAAGAGCAGGGTGTGTTTTGTCTAAAAGCTGGCATGAGGAGGCCAAGCCAAGCATCAGCCTGGCATTCAGGAGGGAGGTACAAAGGCTTGCATCATGATGCACAACCTTGGTTCCCATGCAACTTGTTGACTGTGAAGTGTTTGAACCCCCCAGACATGTTCTTGATAAGCTCTTTTTCATAACAAAGTGAAGTAAATACATGCTTAGACTGTACCTTGCGCTTGATGTTTTCCAGTAGATGTGCCTTCCCTTGCTTGAAGAAAGGGTGCTGGAACTCAATGACTGAGCTTTTCTCCGCTGTAATCATACCATTCTCCAGAGCAATCACCTTCCTGAAACCATCTGTGGAGAGGCATTAACAAAGTGATTTCTTTCAGTGCCAAGCTGACTGGTACAACACATAGCTAAAGAAAACCCCAAGGCTATTGAAATACCTACAGCACTACAGTTACGGGGAGCAGAAACTATGAAAAACAGCCAAAGTAGCTTTTCTTTGGTGCTCAGTGATTTGACTACTCCGATCCTCACAGCTAGGGAACACATCCACAATACCATCAAATGGCCTTGCAGGATCTACAAACTGCACGCATGGCAGAGGCCAGTTAATGTCCGCAAGCAAGACAGGGATGTCTGAATAATCACAAAACTTAGTTAGAAATGAGATTTATTAGGACATCTTGAATAAAATCTTGTCCCAGTGTAAGTAGTGGAGTGGTGCACCTTCCCTTTCATTCCTATAATCCCAGACAACTACATATCAAAACAAATGATGGATCTACAGAATAAAGTAAGGAAGAGAAATTAGTTCTCAGCCTATGCAAACACATGCACACAGAATACTTTCTTCATACTGGACTGCCTGCATGAAATAAGACATTGCCAGCTCTGTTTCCATCACTGCCTCAAATACCACAGGGTAGACAGAAAATACAGTTGACAGACTAATCCGTATCTCTCCTCATTCAAGTTTTTAACGTAGGTAATGTATTCCAGTTTCACAGCGCCTCAACAGTGCTATCATTAGAAAACTTCACTTGAAGCTAGGATAGATCCAGCAGGAAAAGGCCATCGAACTGCACGTCTTCATAGGGATATTTGCATGTTAGCATTTACCCTTGCTACAAGGCAACAGGCAATTGTTTGTTTGCATTATCCTTTGACACTTGAGTGATGGAGTCTCAACACTTGACACAAACAGCAGCATCTACCCTGTGTCAAGAGGCTAAATGTGTGCTTTCTCTCTCATGTCTGACAAAATCTAAATAGGCATCAGCTAGAGAGACCAGGCAAACCTACAGGGCAAGGACAGAGCGCTCCTCCCCCTTACTCCGAATGGAAATTCTAAGTAAGGCGGCCATCTTCTCCGCAGTTTGTACCTTCACCCAGTCCATAAGCTATTTGCTGCAAAACAACTATTTCTGCTGCGTGTTGCAGCCCCGCACGTTGTACTACACCTCAGAATAACCACCTCACTCCAGCTTCTTTGCCTGAGCAAGTTGTACCTGTGTTCTACAACAGACGCGACATGATGCTCAGAATGAGCACAGAAAACATAATGAAAAACTTAGTCCAGCTCGATCCATCAGTGTGACTAAGCTTGTTTCAACACAGCAATGCAGGCAACAGCATGATCCAGACAATTTGTTTCATATACTAGATGTATGGGTGTAGATATGGCCTTTGTTCCTCTAGCTAACCATAAGTCTGCTGTTACTGTTACCATTAACAGTACGACCACTGGAGCCCAGTGAATTCTACCCAAGCTTTAGGTACCAGCACACGAAACAACATTATTACAGTTGTTGCTCCAAAGGACTCAGAGCTGAAACACAGAAAACAAAGACTAAGCCAAGCTCTACTATCATTCTTTTCTTTTGCAAAGCAAACTCAAGACCAGAATTCAGGCTTTCAGGGTAGAAGACCTGCCAAGTCAATTGCTTTGCTTAAAGAAATTCAAATCCATGCCAAGTGGCAATGAACTTGGCAGAAAGACTACATAAGAACAGCTAATGCTTACACATGTTAAGCTGTCGTATGAAGCTGGAGATATTGTTGTGTTTGAAGTACTTGGGGAGCAGCTCCTTGGCAAACCTCTGCTCATCCAGAATGCAGAAATTCTCACCATTCTAGGAAATAAGCAGAAGTAACAGTTAGAGAACAAGCACAATTTTTCTAAGGTGTTACTCATATGTCAAGATCATAAATCAACAGAGACAGTTCCTACAACAAGGAAGGGCAAAACACTCAAAGGGAATTGTCTGTGTGAGTACTTCTGAGTACTTGGGACTGCGCTGAAAAGTTTGAATCCAAAAAAACAGTTACATGGAACACTTCTATTGAATCGGAGATTTTTTTAAAGCTCTGAAGTTTCAATCTTAATCCAAAGAAAATCGTTCTAAAACCCCATGTATCCGCTGCTCTCTTCATCCACAGGAAACATAAATATTGCCCAAGCACAATGGAATTTTGCCACTAGAGGGCTTTTATCTCTCTCGATCAGTTTGCCCAGCTCCTGACGGGATTCTTCCATTGTATGTACTATGTCACCACTAAAAATAACCAAGTAACATTGCCGAGTTACTTAAAGTTCAGACAACACAACCCAGCAATGACAAAGGGTAACTGCGACAAGCGCAGTTTCAGATTTATCATATTCTCAGGTTCAAATTTCCCCACACCCGGCAGGTCTTTGTATCATTTCTACGCTGGTCACAAGAGAACAAAAATACTACGTTCCTTTTCATCTTTGCCTTTGTAAAGGCCAAACCTCCGGGAAAAAAAAAAAAAAAAAAAAAAAAAGTGGAGGAAAAGCTACGGAATTAAAAGTGCCGGGGGACAAAAATAAACACGGTGTTTGTGGCAGACGTCACATTAATCTGTGTATGTTTGCAATGTCCCACGCCCGAAGGCACACCGGCCCAACGAGGCCTGTCTTCCAAATCTCAGCGAGAAAAAAAAATAATTTAAAAGTTAATTACTTCTTAAAGTGCCTTTTCCACCGAGCGCCACCACTTTCGAGCTAATTACACCTAGTTCAAAGATTTTTAACACGCGGCTGTGCTCCGCCGGGCGATGCCGCGTCCCTTTGAGCCGCCACGCCTGGGCACTGCGCAGGCAGCA